GTATCGTAACTACATTGTATAGACAAGCTTTTCTATGAGCAAAGAACATAACGTAAGGAAAATGATGTGTATCAACCATAATATTGATTATACCACTCAAGACTTTAAGCTCGCTGCTTTAAAGTTAAAACTTTCAATTGTGTTAAACGTGAAGACTATACACAGTACGTTTATGAGACAAGAGAGTACAATGCAGCAGTTACTAAAGCATTCTGTAAAATTACAAATAATTAGATAACTTTACAAAATGATTCCATTAAATCTTTTCTTGCATATTGAAAAACTACCTATAGACATTAACATTTATTAATTTTTAATTTATTCCATTTATTCATAAGTGAGCGCATTGTTAATATTAATATTCATATAATGTTGCAATTTTCTCAAATTATTTGCAACTAATTTTTTTAATTAATTATATAAACGCCTTAACTATTAATTTACGTTTGTAACATTGTTCGTGAAGGATAAAATAAATAACTCGGAATAATGAATAAATTAAAATATAAAACAAATAAAATTGATCATGTTAATTTATGTTTATTTCACGTTAATTTTAGATGTCAAAATTACGATATTTAATTATGAGTAATATAAGAAATGTAAGTAGATATATATTCTAATCTTATCTAAAATTTTGAACATTATATACCCATAAATATTCTTATTTCTTGTTCCCAATACATTTCTTGCATTGTCATTTCCTTTACGAAGCAAAACATCTTTCTTAATAATTTACAAATATTTTCAATTCTTGGTATTTTCTAATACCATATAAAAATATGGAATATTTACAAAGTTATTGAAGTTTTCAATAATTAATTGATATCCTTCGTTCTAAGTTCTTTAGAAAGCACATTGAATATAGTTTCAGCCTTGACGACATAATTGTGAAAAGCAATATGGAACAATTGTTCAATACAAGTTTAGAATAATAATACATAGTAATACATAGTGCGTAATTTAATTATACCAACACATTCACACATATAAAAGAAAACTGTTCGTAACCAACGTAAAATAGTTCTATTAATACATGACAAGAGGTAGACTAGTACAACGGTATTCTATATATACGGAAACATTGTCTGTAGCTGTTATTCCACGACTAACGTGAGCAATTAATTGCGCTTATAGCAATCAAAATTATGGAGTTTAGTTAAGTGTTATATCATT